GGTAAAACTGGTTTGCTATTATCTGTAATACCCTTTACTTAAATCTTTAGTAAATTGATATTATCTATGGAAGAGGTGGGAGTAAAACGTCTTTGTTGTTTAGATAACTTTTCGTTACTGTCTCATATATTTGTCATTTCTGTCACTGCTCTGCCACGGCTGCCCTGTCGTAAATTAACAAAATCCCACTTCAAGGTGTTCCTTTCTGTGGATTTAGTCGTCCACGCCTCTGCTAATCCCATCAGGATTTAATGGCTTAAAAATCCTTGCTTTGTGATAGGTGGGCCCCTGCCTTATTCTTCAGAACATTTGGCGCTTTTTGGATATTTGTTTTCCTTGTTAGATTTGTAAAATTAGTATTTTTCAAGTCCTAAGGGAAAAAATCTTGTTTGGAGATGTAATGAAATTCTACGAAAACTTTAGGTCTCTTTTGGAAGAGCTGATGCCTTGGTACCGCTGAGTCCTCCGTTTTAAGGACATGTGCCTTCTCTTCTTGCGTTTCATTTTACTTTGTTACTTTTCTTACTGTTTTACAATTCTTCCATTTGGGGTTTTTTTTTGGCTTCTTTAGACTTGTTAGTACTAATTAAATTTGGGGGGGTTTTACCATAGTTAATGCATTGTCATTTTAAAGTGAATTTTCCAACTTGGTGTTAATTGAAACGGTAACAAACTGTATTTTTGTATTGAATTTTTATCCTGGATTCTTCTTAAAAATCTTACTCTGTGATTTTGTTGTTGTTGTTCTGTTGATGTCCTACACGTACAGTTGACAGAGGTAGGCATAAAGACAAGGCTTTTTCCTTTTTTAATTCTTGTATGTTTGTGTTCTGCTGGGTCTAGACTGGCTCTAGTGTAATGCTGAGCAGAAGAGAGGTCCTGAGCATATTTGGTTTGTCCCTAATTGTTTGAGGGAAAACATCATGCCATTTAAATGTTCTTTGTTATCTTTTGAACATTGTGTTACCAGTTTTCCTTTATTAGGTCACACACGCGTTACCATCTCTTCTCCAATGTAAGATATATGACTGTTGAATATTATAAAATAGTTCTAGCAACTCCTACGATGATTACAGGCAAGATATATAAATTGATTTTAGAGTTTTCTCTTGTATAATATAACATCAGTGTAGGAAATGCATATGACATATGTATAGTCGTCAGAAATATTAAAAAATAATTATCTGTGAAATGAAATTCAGCCCTAAATGTAGAATGAGCTTTCACACCAGATACCCCACTTGAACTGAACCTCGGTGATAGGCCCCCTCACTCTGATGTATGTAACCAGTATGTTGAATCATACACAGATACACATGTATGTATATATAATATACATATATATTTTAAGCAATTTAGTTATCAATTTGTAGTGTTATTTCAAAGGGTTGTTTTATTCTTTACCTTGCAGCCGGTCATTCATATTTATCTATGTCAGTGTCGACAGGTACAAAAATACACGCATGGTGACACATAGGTCCCTCCTGGTCCCCCCCGTTGTGCCACATTTTCCTTAGTACTTATATTTGATTTGCTCATGTGTTGTTTTCCTCCCAAAAAATTGAAGATCCACGAGGTTCATATTTTTTTGTTCAGGGCTCCAGCCCTAGTGCCTTCGGGTACGAGGGCCCATGTCGCTGTAACCTAAATCAGTTGTACTAAATGAAAGAGCCAGAGGTAAGGGCTTCAAACAAAGTGGTCTTTCACAGGAGACAGGAATTTGGCCAGAAAGGAGCACGAGGACATAACCACGGGATAGGATGCTTCTGTTGGCGCTTGCCCATAGTGCTGAGCGAAACCAAGCTTGTCTCCGCATCATGCTGGGAAACAGCAGTTACGGTGACAAAATGGCTGTGAGTAAGGGGTGTGTGAAAGACGTGCAAGTGGTAGGTGCTTGCGTGGTGTTATTCGTGGCCCATTTTGCCTCCCCCCTTCTGTGAACCAGTTTTAGTAACGTCTGCTTTACAGAGCTGATACATGTGTATAAAGCTCTTGGTAAAGATTTTTGCATGCAATGGGTTCTCAATGGTACATTTAAAAAAATGAATGTTGTAGATTATTAAAGTATTTGATGGTTTCAAGCTGAGCGTGTTTGGGAGTTCCTTAGTCAGCTGGGGCTGCTAAAATACCACAGCAAAAATACCACAGACTGTGAGGCTTATAACCAGCAAATAAGTATTTGTCACAGTTCTGGAAGCTGGGAAGTCCAAGATCAAGGTGAGGGTAGATTTGGTGTCTGTTGAAGGCCAGCTTCCTGGTTCATAGATGGCTGTCTTTTCACTGTGTCCTCCCGTGGTGGAAGGGTCCAGGGAGCTCTCTGGAGCCTCTGTTATGAGGGCACTAATTCCGTTCATGAGGTCTAGGAGGACTCCTAGGATTCAGCCTTCGGTCATGATCATGTCCGTGATTTATTGCAGCAGCAAGAAGAAAGCAGGATCAGCCCAGGAGATAGGTGCCTGAGGCCAAGCACTAAGGAGAACAGGTACAGGGTCCCCTCTAGTGACATCGCAAAGCAGCCAAGTGTGACAATACATTTGAAATTAGCAGGGCAACTAATGAGAGACCTCGTTACAGAGTTTTTATTGGCGCTTGTCATCCATCCTGGGGCAGGTCTTTGGCAGAAGCCCTGTTGTTTATGTAAAAAGGAAGAGGGAGCCGCTTGTATCAGGGTGCTGGAAACTCCTGACATCTGAGCTCCCTCCCATGTGCGGGTCAAGGGCCAACCTTGCATGCGAGACGTTCTGAGGATAAGGACTTTCTGAGGATAAGGACTTTCAGGCCTCCTCAGCTAACACTTCTTGGACAAGGCATCTTTACAGCAAAATTATTAGTAGGACCCTGTGCAGCAGGATGAGACCCAACTGAAATACTGATTTTGGTTATGACCTTTAGGGGTCCTGGGCCTGGCCAGTTCAAGTAAATCCCATTCGCTATAAAGGTCTTAGAAAGCCAGTAAGGTACAGGGGAGGGGGCAGTTTTCTTCAAATATCTGTGTTTGTTTGTTTTTACCTGGCCTCAGGTATTAATTCCTGCACAGCACAACTCTGGCCAGTAAGTTGAAGTTGACCTGTGTGCCTTATCCACAGAGAAGACGGTGTCCTGTAAGGACACATACCTGAGAAGTACAGTCCTGGAGGGCACCGTCAGTCCCCTGGAAACACAGAGTTTGCAGTAGTGCCTTGCAGGATGCCTTGGTCAGGCAGCCAGCTCCCCAGGGCCCCCACTGTGGCCTCACAGTGCAGACCTAATAGTTCAGCGCAGTTCTTGCTTCAGAGGGACTGCCCGAGGTGGTCTGTTTCAGACAGTTTCACTTATCCATGGCACTGGTTTGCCCACCTCACCAGTCGGACACATAGAGGTGATCTGTCAGCAGGGAAGCTCCCAGCTGTGAAGGGACCAGCTTGATTTTAGATGGTCCCATTGGAGAACAGGGCCTTGGTCACGGACAACTGTAAGTGACCCCACCAGACCCGCTGGCATCTGTGAGGTTTTCACAGTTCGGGGCTCACAGAGTGCTGCTGTGAATCTTCCACATTCCCAGAGCTGAAGTCCTGCTCATGGAGCTTACTCCTGCTCTCGGGCCGGCACAGTGTGTACTGAGGCTGCAGCAGCCCATCGTGGACTCTTGGGTTTTAGCTCATGGTCAAATCCAGGAGGTCGAAATGCAAGCTATGTGAATTCAGAATGCCATCAGACACTAGGGTCTTTCTTCTCAGGAGCAAAGCGGAGACACTGCAGGGGCAGACACCTGGGTTCCACGTGCAAGTAGCAGATGAGACTGTCCTAAGCCATTGTTGTCTCGTCTGTCTTAGAATCCAAACTGACCCACTGCTGGACAACCGTCAGCCTCTGCAGGTCGTCAGAAATAGGTCTTCTTAAGAACTCTTTAGCAAACTGGAAACTTTTACTTGAAATTCCAAAAATCGACTTCCGATGTAGAGATGGCCTGTTTGTTTGTTTGTTTTTACTTTGTTGCCTTCTTTTTTTAACCTAGGTAAAAATCATAGTAAAAAGCCATCAGTTATGGAGACCTAATCTTATTTCTAATACTGAGAGGCTAAATTTCATCCCATGCACCATTGGCAGAAAGCGAGGATGTGGCGTCACAGACATTTTTTTCTTTGCACGGATCGGGATGGCCCTACTAGCGTCGATAGAATCATAAGGCTGCACCATTTGCCTCCGTTTTTGTCGTACATGCAGATGCAAGAATGACAAATCAAAACCATTTTAAGAAAAAGTCTCCCCCCGCCCTTCATTCTCATTGCAATTCAGTCAGACCCTGTGTTATGTCCTAGGGCTCCAGAACAAGTGGCCACAGTGGGGGCTTGAAATTTTGTTCCCTCACAGTTCCGGAGGCTGGAGGTCAGAGATCAAGGTGTTGACCAGCTCGTGCTCCCTCAGGGCCCTCAAGGCTTCTGGGAACTCTCCTTGTCCATTACCGTTTCCAGCAGCTTCAGGCATTCGTTGCTGTGGCAGCACAGTCTCCGTGTCGTCTTCACACGGCCGTTTTCCCTGGGCTTCTCTGCCCTCATGTGGCATTTTCCTCTTCTGATAAGGACACCAGTCAGGTTTGGGCCCATTGTAATGACCTCATCGTGACTCAATTACACCTGCAAAGACCCTATGTCCAAGTAAAACCACTCTCGTAGGTGCCAGGGGTTAGTATTCAAACATATCTTGTGTGGGGACAGTTCAATGTATAACAAGGCCCTAGTTACAAATTCAGCATTTACAGGGGTAAAATTACAGCTGCCGGGGAAGGTCCTGGCCGGAATGCCAGGGTGGGTCAGGAGGCTACTGCAGCCCCAGCTGGCTGAGCTCTGCACCCCATTTCTCCTTGGTTTATCTAAAGTTTTTACTTTTTTTTTCTCCCAGTGAATGCAAACTTTTAGCACTTTTTGCCCATCCAAAGCTCACCTTTGAGAAATTGGGGGTTCTTGGTTCTTTGTTCTTTGTGCTAGAAGAGAGAACAAAACTCAAAGGTCCTACTAAGGCTGCCTTTGTTTTTGTTTGTTTGTTTTCTCCTGTCACGTAGCTGGCAGGGCCAGAAGCAGCCCATCTATGCAGGGAGCCAGCCCTCCTGGAGTCGGATCTGTCATTTTTACCTCTGTCAACTTGACCCTCCCACCAGACAGCAGCTCAGCCACCCTTTCAAACCACGGACAGCTCCATAGCCACCCAGCACCAGAGTCCCATCCCCTTCCTCTTCATCCTTCTTCTTTCCATCCCAGTGTTTTTGCCGTGTTTCGATGGGTCACGCACGGTGTTCCAGCAAACCTACTTCTGATGTCTCAAAGACCGCTCCCAGGCCCTGCTATCAGGACTCTCATGACTCAGCATATAGTTGCGTTCTTAACTATGATTTGTTACAACAAAAGGACACAGGTAAATCATCAATAGGAAAAGGCACATGGGGAGAAAGCTGCAGGAAACCAGGGGCACGCTGTTGAGTCCTTTCCTAGTGGAGTCAGACAGAGTGCACGCAGCAAGGAGTTGTAACAACATGTGAAATGTTGTCTACCAGGGAGGCTTGTTAGACCCAGTGCCCAGGGTTTTTACTGAGAGCTGGCATCAGGAAAGTAGGTGTTCGGCATCAGTGCTGTCATCTGCACAGTCAGTTTAGACACTGTGAGGAATATCAATTCCAGTGGTGTGCTACCTCTCAGGTCCAAGGTCCCAGACACTGGTCATGGCAAGCTGTGCTTCAGTCATTTCTAAAGATAAAAAGTTCAGGCCTGAGGTGTCAATTCTTCTTCTGCACAATGGGTGAGGGAGCTTTATGGGAAGAAATATGGCAGATAACTACCCTACATCAATTCAGCCAACTTTGGGCCCTTCTGTCATTCCCCATACCAACAGCAAGAATAGTCCTACTTCGCTATTATACTGTTGAATGGTAAGTTCTGGCAGCAGAGTTGACTGAGGGTATTTTCTCTGTCCCCTGCTCATGGATGTCAGTGAGTTGATATTCTTTAAAAAAAAAAAACTGGGGCCTAACGGAAGCATGCAGCTCGGTGGTTCGTGTGCATAGGGGTTGGTCTTACATGCTCATGGGCCTGGTGGAGGCAGGGATAGGGAATGAGAGACACTGACAGTGCAGCCTCCTGGATTGTTTGTGGGGAATCAACCTTCTCCTGGAATTTGAGATGAGGAAGTGTTTCCTTTGTGGGAAGGCACTGGTGAATCTTTTACGTGTTTTTTTAAAATCAAGGGCAGATTTACCATTGGATGATTTTTACTTCAGTTAACTCCATGGCAAAAAGGCACTCTTAACCTTGTCCTCAAGGTCAGCAAGAATACGTGTATGAGAAATCCAAAAAGACATACGCACCTCTATGTTCATTGCAGCATTGCTTACGATAGCCAAGATAAGGAAGCAATGTAAGTGTCCACTGATAGATGAGTGGATAAAGATGTTACCTACACGTATATACAATTGAATGTGACTCAACCATAAAAAAGAGTGAAATCTTACCATTTGTGACGACATGGGTGGAACTAAAGGGTATTATGCTAAGTGAAATAAGTCAGACACAGAAAGACAAACCCCGTATGATCTCATGTATATGTGGAGTATAAAAAATGAAGCAAATGAACAAACAAAACAAACAGACTCATAGACACAGAGAACAAACTGATAGTTGCCAGATGGGAAGGGAGTTGGGGCGCCTGGGCAAAAATGGGAAGAGATGAAGAAGTACAGATTGGCAGTTACCAGATGGTCATGGGATGTAAAGTACAGCACAGGGAGTACAGCAATACTATTGGAATAACTGTGTGTGCTGCCAGGTGGGTACTCATCAGGGTGGTCACTCCACAAGTTATATAAATTTCTAGTTACTGTGTTGTACATCTCAAGCTAATATTGTGTCAGCTATAATTGAAAAATAAAATTATTTTTAAAACTTTAAAAGATTTTATTTATTTTTAGAGAAAGGGGAAGGGAGGGAGAAAGAGATGGAGAGAAACATCGAATGTGAGAGAGAAACGTCGATTAATTGTCCCTCGTGTGTGTGTGGAACCAAACCTGCAGCCTGACTGGGAATCAAACTGGTGACCTTTTGATTTACAGGTCGATGCCCAACCAACTGAGCCACACTGGTCAGGGCTAAAAAAGAAACTTATAAAAACCACTCATCCAGGTTTGACTGTGGGCCCCATGTTGTACTGAGTAATGTTGTGGGCAGTGGGGGAGGAGCTGAAGTGTTTGTGTCGCAAGGGATTGGTGGGGGATAAAGTGGCCCCACCGGTCCCTTTAATTTCTTTAATGTGGTCTGAACCCTTTGATTAAAGAATGTCTTGATGTGGTCACAGTAAAAATGTAGAGGTAAGTTCATTGTGTTAGTGGTGCTTTAAATCTATGAGGACACGAGTGTGGATAGGGGGTGAGAGGTTCTGCTGATGTAGTCATAAACTGGATGTTGGGTGACCACAGAATCTGTGAACTTCCTGTGAACTGATCCCACTTGTTCAGTGCTGTGAGTCTCCCCCATCCTTCTACACACATGTTGGATGTTTCAGAACCCAGTGGTCTTTGCGGATGTGGCTGTGGACTTCACCCTGGAAGAGTGGGCTCTGCTGGATGCTGCTCAGAGGGAGCTCTACAGAGATGTGATGCTGGAGACCCTCAGAAACCTGGCCTCAGTGGGTAAGAGTGACATTGTTCCTTCACTTCGTTCCTTCTCACTTTAGAGAACGTGCATTTCTTGAGTATCAAGACTGTTCCCAGACATGGGATGTGGAAAGGATATACATTAATTAATAAGACACTGTCATACAGCTAGAATCTAATAGTTCTTCCATGAGAACGAGAATCTGCATATTAGACTGAGGTTTTTGTGTGCGTAAAGAAGTGTCATCAGTGGATGTGGGTCTCATGGGTCATTAGGGGCCCAGTGAGGTTTGTTTTTGTCACTGGGAGATTTGTACTGTTTATGAAACTGCTTACCATTGTGACCCTTATACTTGTTACTGACGAAGCCCTGGCAGAGTGTCTTCTCAGTGTCTTTTTTGGCTAACCGCTACCTTTATTCTTGTAAGATTTGTTCCCTTTCTGTTTTCAGATGACAAGACTCAATTTAAGGCCAATAGGTCAGTTTTTCAGCAGGATATTGATGGGAATAAAATATCCAAGGAAGATAAAATAGCAAAGTTTGCCAGAAATTCTTGGGTCTCCGTCTTAGGAAAAATTTGGGAAGAGCTTAATGTTGAAGATCCACACACAAACCAGGGGAGATATCCGAGGTGAGTCGCATTCCAGAACAATATTAGTATGTCGTGAAATTCAAAAAGCAAACAAACCACAACCCATATAAGCCTCACTCGAATTTATTTATTCAGATTTTCACACAAAAAATTCCTTCAATGTGACATAGGCCCTAACTGGTGTGTCTCAGTTGGTTGCACATTGTCCTGCAAAGTAAAAGGTTGTCAGTTCGATTCCCAGTCAAGGCACTGCCTGGCCTGGGGCTCCGTCCCTGGTCCGGGCGCATACAAAAGGCAGCCAATTGATGTTTGTCTCTTGCATGGATGTTTTTCTCCCTCCCTTCTACCTTCCCTTCCCTTCTCTCTCAAAAAAAAATTTAAGAAATGTGACACAGATGTTGAATGTTAGAAACAATAGGAAAGAATCAGGGGAAAAGTCTGTGTTTAAGAAACCCTGTTTCCACAATGGCTGTGCTCAATCCATTCAGTTCATTCCACTTTAAAACAAATCAGGATAGAAGACGAACACATTCACTGAGATCCGTGAAAATGTAATTCTAATATTAATAAATATTAAGAAACCATTATGAATCAAACTACTATAACATGTTTCTCACTTTTTTACAGAGGCCGTGTGGTGGAGAGACTCTGTGAGAGTCATGATCAGTGTGGGGAAGGCTTAAGTGAGATTTCCGACCTTAACCTGTATCAGAAAACTCGTCCTGAAGTAGGACCGTATGAGTGCAGCGCACACGCAGAAGTCTTCAGGCACCATGCATCCCTCGGGAGGCACGTTGCCATTCACACTGGACACAAACCATATCAATGTGAGGAGTGTGGGCGGGCCTACAGTTACTGTTCACACCTCAGAGCACACGTGAGAACCCACAAAGGGGAGAGGCCCTACGTGTGTGAGTTATGTGGGAAGGCCTTTCCTCGTACTTCTTCCCTCAATCGGCATGTAAGGATCCATACCGCAGAGAAAACCTGTGAGTGCCAGCAGTGTGGGAAAGCCTTCATCGACGTTTCCAGTCTCACTAGCCACGTGAGAACGCACACTGGGGAGAAGCCCTATAAATGTAAGGAGTGTGGGAAAGCCTTCAGCTATTCCTCAACTTTTCGAAGACACATGATAACGCACACAGGAGAGAAGCCCTATAAGTGTGAGGAGTGTGGGGAAGTCTTTGGCTATTCCTCAACTTTTCGAAGACACATGATATCACACACTGGGGAGACACCACATAAGTGTAAAGAATGTGGAGAGGCCTTCAGTTACTTCTCAGCTTTTCGAAGGCACATGATAATGCACACGGGAGAGAAGCCCTATGACTGTAAACAGTGTGGGAAAACCTTCATCTATCTCCAGTCCTTTAGAAGACATGAACGGATTCACACAGGAGAGAAACCCTATGAGTGCAAACAGTGTGGGAAAGCCTTTATTTACCCCCAGTCATTCCGCAGACACGAACGGACTCACGGTGGAGAGAAACCCTATGCATGTAACCAGTGTGGGAAAGCGTTCAACCATCCCTCATCCTTCCGAGGGCACATGAGAGTGCACACCGGAGAGAAGCCTTACGAATGCACTCAGTGTGCAAAAACGTTCAACTGGCCCATCTCCTTACGAAAACATATGAGAACGCACACTAAAGAGAAGCCGTATGAGTGTAAACAATGTGGAAAAGCCTTCAACTTGCCTGCTTGCTTTCGAGAACATGTGAGAATGCATCCTGGAGACAAATCGTATGAATGCAAACTGTGCGGCAAAGCTTTCTATTGCCACATTTCCTTACAAAAACACATGAGGAGGCACACTGCCGAGAAACTCCACAAATGCAAGCAATGTGGGAAGGCTTTCAGCTGGCCCGAACTTCTGCAGCAGCATGTGAGAACGCACACTGCAGAGAAACCTTATGAGTGTAAGGAATGCGGGAAAGTCTTCAAGTGGCCATCCTCTTTACCGATACATATGAGAATGCACACGGGAGAGAAACCTTATGAGTGTAAGCAATGCGGGAAAGCCTTTAGCTGCTCCTCATCCTTCAGAAGACACCTGAGAACACACGCTGCAGAAACACACTGCACGTTTGATGTTTGATGCGGGAAGTCCTCCTGCAAAGGAGTCCGTGCGCGACGCTGCAGGAGGTTCGCACCAGGAGAGAGATCTTATGAAAGTCGTACATGTGGTTTTGCCTTTGCAAGTACCCCATCATTAAATTGCACCCATAGGGCGTGTATTTTCGGTTCTTTTGCAAATAAACATTTACGTGAAAAAAATAACTCTGAAAGTACTCTTCTATAGTACACACAATTTCTGTCGTGTTTTTTCCTTACATTTCCATCTACAAGGCTTTTATCTTTAGTTTGTGGACTCATAGATGATTAAAAGTGTATTTTCGGTATGTAGGTAGTTTTAATTTCTTTAAATTGTCCTTGGAACAATGACACTTTGGTATTTGTTGGACTTTGCCTCCTGGCTTAGTGTGGCAAATACTGGATATCACCCTTCATATATTTTCTGCTTTATTGAGAGTCTTTATTTTTGGCCAGAGGAGCCTTATTCTATTTTTATTAATAGTTTTTACAATTATAAAATTATGTGGGCTGTTGTTTTCAACTTTTGCTCATCACTGTTTTTGCTTGTGATTAGGAATTGGATGGTAGGCATTTACTAAGAGACACTTATGACCACAGATAGTGAGTTTCAGATGGTTCTTTGCATTGTGCTTTGTCAACAATGTTGGGAACTACATCTCCCAGAATCCCTTCCCTTTATGATTCCATGTTCTAATTCACCAGTGGCCTAACTTGGCATGACATTTGGGAGGCAGAATTGAAGAAGCCGTTACTAAGTTTTGGGAACTGCTTTAAAGTGTGATAGAAAGATGCATGGGGACTTCTGGATACCAGACTGCAGACCATTTCCCTGATTTCTTTGCCCTAGTAATCAAGAGTATCAAGAGAAATGGCAAGTGTTTGATTTCCACGTTTCTCAGATGTATAGGCTTCCATGGATAGCTCCATGAGCTCCGTATCAGGGATCCACTTGTGTGGATAAGTACTTCCAATCTGGATTTTTCTAGAAACTGTAAGGTGTCCTCCAGACCGCTAATCCAGACTCATGGTTTGTGACCTCTAATGCTATATGATTCACTCTCCTCTCTGTAAGTTAACTTAGTTTCTATGGTCTAATTTGTAGAGCAAACACTGGGTTTGTAATACTTCCAGTGGCTCCCTGATCCTGCATCCACCACAAAAACTACAATGTTGCAGCAAAATAAAACAACACTTGGGACTTTGTGAATCTATTACATTTTGAAGTGTGTCGCTGAGGCAGCTCTTCCTTGTGACAACAAATACCTTCCTCATATGTTAGATTTTGGGAGATTTCTGTCACACAGAACTAGATGCATTTCCATCATGTAAGTTTAATTATGTTTATGTCATCAAAATGTATTTTATTTTCAAGGAAAATCTGTAGATATTTCTTAGAAATATTCTATTTATCGTGTCTTCAAATCGGTTGTATACTATTCATTTCCTAGGGCTGCTATAACAAGGTACCACAGCTGGGTTGCTTGGGACAACAGAAAATTTTGTCTCGACGTTCTGTGGGCAGAAGTCCAAAATCACAGGGTGGGCAGGACCAGCCTCATCTGAAGGTGCCATGGGAGCATCTGTCCCAGCTCTGTCCCAGCTTCTGGGAGTTCATTGGCTGGTGGAAGCTTACCTCTAACCTTCATGGGGCATTCTTCTCCCTGTGTGCATGCCTGTCTTCTTGTAAGGACACCTCCTATTGGGTTAGGGCCAACTCTTCTCCAGTATGACCCAATCTAGAACAAGCCTATTATCTCCCCATGACATGTCCCATTCTCCAGAGCCATCTAAATTTCTTTCCAAATATATTGATATTTTTTACTCTAGTTTTCTAACCAATAGTGGTTCTGACAGATGAACTCCTGAATGGTAATTGTCCTAGGATGAAGTTCTTTAAATTGTGATCATTGATGTTGAAGGGAAAGGACAGACCACACCAAAATGGCTCTCCAAAGTGTCTGTGGTGTAATGGGTTCAGACCATGCCATCTTGTTAGTTTTCCAGTAGAACACCGAGTGAAACTGCTATGTGGCAAGGGTATGAACACAATTTACATTTCAATGAATTTATTCAATCTTCCTATCATCATTTCAGTGAAGCTTTGCTTCCAAATATTTAAATTGACATCATTTTGTTTGCATAAAATAAATGTAAGCACCCCCTAACCATTCCTGCATGGAGACTTTCTTGATCCGTTGTCAGTCTTAGAAAATCTCTTCCTTCTCTGACCTAGACAACCCCAGAGCACAGACTGTTTCTCCTTAATAAAGGGCATGTTTTGCCTGACATTAACTTGCAAACTGTGTGACTTTTAAATTTATTGTTAATGTGTAAATAACTATTAGCCCCATTTTATTTATTACATGCTGCAATAAGCATTTTCATGCCCACAGATTTGGCCATTGGCTTGAGTCGGTTACCCAAGTGATGGGTCTTCAGGTCCATTCTGGAGCTGACCTGGCTCTGATCCAAGCATGTCTGTTCCGGGGCTGAAGTTTAATCAACAGCACATTGGGGAAGGTTCCTCATGATGGATCACCCCAAGTACAGAGGAAAGCCAAATGCACAAACACATTTCAGGGTTTTTTCTCATGGCATTCGCTCACATAGCATTGTCTTAAGCAAGTCACATGGTTCAAAACGAAGGGGAGAAGAATTACAATCTTACTACCAAGAGACATTGCCAGATTGTTCCAGGGGATTGAAAATTTTGAAAAAATAATGCAATGTCCTACATCTTCTGAATACCCTTTTAGGAACAAACTTGCATTACAGAGCATAATTATAGAGAATGTACTTAACCCTTTCATAAGTAGTTCCCTGTTTAATGTTTTATTTTGGGAAAATTCAAACTTTGTATAAGTAGAGAGAATGATTTCAGAAAATTTCATAATATCCATTACTGACCTTCAACAATTTTCCATCAGGTGTCTTCCTACAATGTCCAGTTCCCTCTGGATAATTATGAAGCAATTTTCAGGATATCATTTTATCCTTTAATATTTGGAATGTATCTGTTTGCTTAATGTAACCATAATCAATGCCATTATCACACCTAACAATTACCCCTTAACATACTGAAGTATACAGGCTGTAGCCAATTTCTCTTATGGTCTACATAATTTTAAACCCTCTGCTGTTGGATTGTTTGCACTGGGATCCAATAGAATCCATACATTTAAATTTTTTATATTCAATATTTAATCCTCACCCAAGGGAGTGTGTATTGATTTTATTGTATATTTTTAAAAGATTTTATTTGTTTATTTTTACAGAGAGGGAAGGTAGGGAGAAAGAAAAGAAGGCAGGGAGAAACATCCATGTGCGAGAGAAACATCTATGGGCTGCCTCTTGCAAGCCCCCAACTGGGGACCCACCCCCTACCCACCCCTGTGATCTGACCAGGAACCAAACCAGTGACCTTTTGGTCTGCAGGCCAACACTCAATCCACTGAGCCACACCAGCCAGGGCTGGTTTTATTTATTAAAAATAAAAAAATATATATGTAATTTATATTATTTATATAAAATATGTATTTTATCCTCAGATGAGGATAAAATATACATTTTATATGAGGGCATATAATGAGGACGTTTTTTCCCATCGCTTTTGGAGAGAGGAAGGGAGAGAGAAAGAAACATTGATTGGCCATCTCCCATATGTACCCAGGCCAGGGATGAACCCGCAACTCTGGAGCATGTGATGATGCTCCAACCAACTGAGCCGCCCAGCCAGGGAAACATTCATTTAAAAAATAAAACCAACAAAAATATATTAGCTATATTTTTATTTTTATTTATTTTAGCTGTATTTTTTAATGTTTTACAAATCAAATGAGTAATATATTTTTAATGGGAAGCCTCTTCTATACATGCTAATCCTCTAAGGACTACTTTATATACAGGACAATTATTTTTGCAAACTCTAAAATATTTTTTCACTTCTGTTTGTAAATAAGTGGGGTGGGAAATAATGGGCAAGGCTTCAACAATATCAATGGCCAAACATCAAAATTATCCAGACTTTGTATTTCACATGGTGACATCATCATTCAATGTCTGTGTTCTTAAAAAGCACAGCAGTGCCAGGTCCACTTCTGACCTGTGGAGGACTTCAGGCCTTCCTATTCTGGCCCAGTCTGTTCTGGGTGGCCCACTTTCTCTGGACGGGATGGAGGGTGTCGCTCCATGGGGAAATTGAGTCTGGGTGGAGTAGGTGCCTCCGAAGGACTCCTAAACACACCCTGGAGACTCAGAGCTACTTCTACTGGAACGCCGAGGTTGCAGTTCTGGCCAACCGGAAAAGGTCGGTTCCGCTGGTGGGGAACTGTCCAATCAGGAGTGCTGGGGCGGGCTGGGGCGGAGCCAGAACTACCCAATCAGAATCCCTAATGGGTGGGTGTGCCCGGAGAACTGTGGATGCGGTGACCGGTGTCCTCCCAGCACCTGGACTGAGCTCTGCCGAGGTGTCCAGGCGCTGCTACAACCTAGGGCCCCATGTACCCATCTCTTGCTTTCGCCAGCCGGGTTACTACTGGGAGAACGGAGCGAGATCTCGGAGCTGGGCTGCGAGATGGTGAGTGCAGGGTTGAGGGGAGAGGGGGTCCTGGGGTCCGGACCTGAGTCTCCGCCTTTGGCGGTGGGTGGGCCTCTGGCGTCCTGTTCAGTTCGCGCTGTGTCTAGGGTCTCCGGACTTCCAGGGAGAGGCAGATGCTCACAGCTGCGGGGCGGGGCCGCTGGTGGGCTCTCCCCACAGGACAGCTTGTGGGGCGGGCTGGGAATTTGGGGAGATCTGTAGGGGGGTGTGGGAGGGATTTCCTGGTGGAGGCTAGGTTCCTAACTGACCCGGACCCCATTTCTCATTCCCTGGAGGGACACAGTCGTTGTAACAGCGTGCAGCCAGAGGGGCCCCCAAAGAGGGATTTGTAATGGGGTCCATAACTCAGGGTGTCTAGGAAATACTAAAAATATAGGATGTCCTCACCCCCACAAGTGTGAACTGGGGAATGGGACACATGGAGCAGGGCCATCGAGAGTTGTTTTGCATAGCAACAGTTTTGCAACTAACCTCAGGCATGGTCATTTAACATATCTATAACTTTTAACTGGTTTCATGGGTATGTTAAATAGCTGTGGCCATGCCTTGAGCCAGGGAGGTGGGAGTGACTTGGACTCCTGACTCAACAGGGAGGCAAC